TGAGTGCTAAAACCAAGGAGGTGGCCTATGGAGGCAATTGGTGGAGATGGAGTTAAGAAGTCTCATGGAGGCAGAATGGAAGGGACTGGGTAGAAACAGAGCTGACCAGATGGGAGCTCAGGTACTGGAGTGAGTCAGTGCAGCAAAGGAAGAGAAATGAAATGGGCTATTTGGGTGGTGGTGATGTCAGGAAGGGTTGCTGAGCTGGTTTGGGATCCAATGCTTTGGAAGCACAGGTAAGGGCTTCCAGACAGAGATGTCCTATGGGCAGTTGGATGGAGGATCTTCGAGGAGATGTGAATTTTGCAGTCATCAGTATGTAGATGGTTAATGGAAGCCATGCGAGCTGACGAGTTCAATCCAGGCAAATCAGCGGAGGAAGAAACAAAAAAGGGTGAAGACAAAATGCAAAGAAAGGAAATGTAGAAGGAGTGGAATCGGCAAAAGAAATAGAGGAATAGTTAAAGAGTTCAAAGGAGAAAGGAAGAGATAGAAGGGAAGTCAAAGAAATAGAGATGCTCTGTACATTGGCCAGCAGTGTCAAATTCTACAGAGTCAAGAGAAATGGAGACTGGAAACTGTTCTATGTCCCCTCCTACTACATCGGAGTTCCTGACTTGGGGCTTGGAGCTCTGTATGCACCTGCCAATTGTTTGAGGGGAAGAGGGTTTATTGACCAGTTTATGGGCTACCCCAGCCCTTTGCCTGCTCTCCTTTGAGTCATTTCACAGTTTATCAGCCCTTCAACCAAAGGCTGGACAAGGGAAATAAACTTTTCCCGGTCAATTTTATGACATAATCTATCAGTTCTTTGAAAAGATTTAGCAGAGGAATAATTTGCAATGATTCGTTGGTTTCCGTTTGTCCTTGGTGTTGGATTGTCTATGAATCTCATCACTCCAGCCAGGGCTGGTGGTCTTTAGAGTTAGCCAGCCCTTTCACTATACATACAAAATAAATTTCACTTGGATTAAAGAGGGTCACTTTTAAAAAGAAAATCTACTAGAAGAACCAGAAGGAAGTAGAAACATACATTTAGTAAGTCTCTTGGGGGCAGGAGAGCTTTCTACCTGCTGAAGTGATAGATGATACCAGGAAGGAAAAAGACTAACCAGTTCAGCTTCACAGTTAGTCATAGTTTAAAATATTTGTTTATATATATACAAAATATATGCACACAATATTTATGCAACAGTTGCAGTAAAGTTTTTCTTCTGTAGAGATCAGAAAATAGAGAGAAACAAAAGCATCTCAGTTGCTAATATTTCAATAGACCAGGAGCGTGAGCAGATAATTCACCAAAGAGAAAATGCAACTAGTTCACGACCATTGAGAAGAATGTCATGCCTCATTAGTAAGAAAATAATTGCAAATTAAAATAATGAGGTGCCATTTTCCCCAATAAAATTGCCTAAAAACTTACCTAGTGCCGCTGAGGGTGTGGTGAAATTATCGCTGATGACAATGATGTCAATTAATGCAACTATGTTGGGAAGGCATTTGGTAAATACAAATTAATATCCATAAATATGTTCGTAAGGTAGACTCAGCAATTCCACTCCTATCCAAAGGAGTCCAGTCTAAAGACACGACCATAAATCTGAAAACCACCGTATGCATGGGAATGCTGTATCAGCAGCATCACAAATACCAAAATCTAAAGTTTCAGCTACAAGGGATGGATAGAATAAATTGTGTTGCGTTTACCAGATGAAACATTATGATTCTATTAAAAATAATGGTTAGGAAGACGAGATGGTACCATGGGAGGATGGCACCAAGGAATGTGGTATAATGTTAGCAGGAAAGGCGAGGAAAATGTGCTCAATGCTGGTATGTGATACAGAGATTCATATGCACAAACGCACACAAGTTAACACAGGAAAGGAGGCAAGATGAAAATACGCCCAAAGACTCCATCACAATGCTACTTTTGGGTAGGTTTTTCTTTTTCTTTTTTTTTTTCAAATTTTCCATATGCATGCTGATTATAAACATGGATTTGGGGGATCAAAGAAGCTTGGATTCAGATTCTAGTTTTAATAAAGAAATGACAAGGAAACGGAAAAGCTAATTACCTGATTTGATCAGGACATGCTGTATACATGTGTCGAGATCTTAACATTGTCCCCCATAAAAATACACAAGTATTACCTGGTAATAAAAAAAATCCTACTTTTATTATTGTATCATCTTGAGTGAATTCCTTAATCTAAGCTTTAAGTTTCCTCTTCTGTAAATGGAGAATTATAACATCTACCTCACAGGAGTGCGATGAGGATTAAATGAGAACATGGTACACTACCAATAACCGGGAGATTTGATTACTGGAGCTCTTCTTACTTAGACAATACAAAGAGCCTTATCATTTTACAAACCTGCTGGACCCCACAGACTAGAGAGTATGCCCTGAATCCAAACAATAGTTGTTGTTGCTGTTTTTATTTCCTGCCCTCCCTTCTTCACCGTCAACCACTACGAAAAACTGTCAGAGTTAATTGTAGGGGGAAAAAAATGTTTGCTTTGCTTAATGAATGTGAACTTCCTCATTTCTCTGGTTTGTTTTGCTTTCAAGTTGTTTTTGTATCAACACTACCGGGGCAGGATGAGCCAGGTGACAAGATTGTGGGGAATTGCCCACAGAAATCGTTCTCTCCATCTCACACACCGAGATGCCAGGTCTCCAGGGCACCACGGGGCTGGGTCACTCTCCACGTGCCCAGGATTTCTGGTCCCCCAGCCATGGGTTACTCCTTTATTGTCCTCTGTACTCTCCAGCCTTCCTTTTTCCTGCTACTGAGAATTAGCAGCTGCCCGGAATCTTGTGGGATGTCCCAACCAGAAAATCAAGAGCCACAGAAATCAGAGGACTTGAATGGGGCTGACTCTCTCTCTTTCCCTCTTCTCTGTGTGTGTGTGTGTGTGTGTGTGTGTGTGTGTCTGTGTGTGTTGGGTAGTTGGAGAGCTTCATGAGAAAGGCCAGCTAGGAAGTAGGTAAAGGCAGAACCCCAGGGGGTAGTCAAGGTCAACTTCCTCAAGCAAATTATGGAGCTATCTGGGGAGTGAACCAGTGGATGGAAGAGACCTCTGTTTCTCTCACCCTCTTTATCTATCGTTGTGCCTTTCAAATAAATAAATAGATAAATAAATCGATAAATCTTTTTTTTTGACGGGCAGAGTTAAGACAATGAGAGAGAGATAGAGAAAGGTCTTCCTTCTGCTGGTTCACCCCCCAAATGGCCGCTACGGCCGGCACACTGCGCCGATCTGAAGCCAGGAGCCAGGTGCTTCCTCCTGGTCTCCCATGCAGGTGCAGGGCCCAAGCACTTGGGCCGTCCTCCACTGCCTTCCCAGGCCACAGCAGAGAGCTGGACTGGAAGAAGAGCAACGGGGACAGAATCCAGCGCCCCAACCGGGACTAGAACCCCGGGTGCCGGCGCCACAGGCAGAGGATTAGCCAAGTGAGCGGCGGCACCAGCCTGATAAATCTCTCTTTTTTTTTTTTATTTTTTTTTACAGGCAGAGTGGACAGTGAGAGAGAGACAGAGAGAAAGGTCTTCCTTTGCCGTTGGTTCACCCTCCAATGGCCGCCACGGCAGGCGCGCTGTGGCCAGTGCATCGCGCTGATCCGAAGGCAGGAGCCAGGTGCTTCTCCTGGTCTCCCATGCGGGTGCAGGGCCCAAGCACTTGGGCCATCCTCCACTGCACTCCTTGGCCACAGCAGAGAGCTGGCCTGGAAGAAGAGCAACTGGGACAGAATCCAGTGCCCTAACCGGGACTAGAACCCGGGATGCCGGCGCCGCAAGGCGGAGGATTAGCCTAGTGAGACGCGGCGCCAGCCCTGATAAATCTCTTTTAAAAAGACAAAACAGAGACAGTTGAGGTACAAAATCTCCGGGTCCTGTCTCCTCTGCATTGTACCTTTACTGTTCCTGTTTTCCATCCTCTCTGAAGAAAAGCATGGCCTTTTGGTGCAAGAATAAGTTCTTTCCTTTGCTGACAGCAGCATCGCCCTTGTCTTGATGCTTCCGTATGTGTAGCTAACGTGCACTCTGCAACAGCCACAGTTTGAATGTTTTGTCTTCTTCAATGCTACGAAAACTTGGAGAGGTTTGCAGCACTATTTCCTACATTTGAAAGGTCGGGAAACTGAGGTGCAAAGAGAAGTAGCTTGCTCAAGGTCACCCAGCAGTGATTGGCAGAATGCGGACTTGAACCCAGGCCATCTGGCTCTGGGGCCTGTTGTCTTAGCAACCGCACTGTGCTGTCCCTCTGGGCTTTCCCAGGGAACTTGCTGCATCAAGGATTTCTTTCCTTTATCATTTTCAATCTATTCCTCTCTACACTCTCATATTCTTTCTTCCTAGAACACGCACAGCTTTCCTACACTTCATTTTCAAACTGTGTCCCTCCAATACCGAATTACCTACAAAAATAAGCAACGTGTTCTCCATTCTTCCTGATTGCTGTCTGCTCTGCGCCCTTCTCACACTGACTGCTTCCCCCACCACACCCCTGATGCCTGAAGACCTGCCAGGTGGTGGCAAGTCATCTATTCCAAGATGGCTGCAGTGACATCTCCCATCCCCCATGTTTTTATAATGTGACATGACACTCCGTTCATTAATACTTGGGGTTTTCATTCCCTTCTCTTGAATCTGAGTGAGTCTGTGAGCCTGGTAGAGTTGACATCTGAGCCTTCATCATAAAATGTGACCAAGCCTCCACGTCTTGAGATGCTGGCTCTTCAGATCCAGTCACCACGCTCCAAGGAAGCCCAGCAACCACACATGGAAGCCAGCTAAGATCCCAGTCAACAGCTGGGATCAATTGCCAGACATGTGGGTGAAGATGCCTCTAGACTTTTTGAGTCTTTCTGGTAAGGCCCTAACATTGTGGAGCACAGATACACTGTCATTGCTGCACCCTGTTCAAAACAATGGGAGGTAATGAAATGCCCTAGCAGTGACAAAGACCAGTGGAATCTTCATGGGACTCACCCCACCAGACTTGTCTGCAGTGTTTGACCTGGGCCATTCCTTTCTCTTCAAATTCTTCTCTCCAATGACTAGAAGAGACAAAGAAGACACAATTAAATGCAATATAGGCTCATGGGTTAGGTCCTGAACAATGAAAAAGGACATTAGTGGAAAAATTAGTAGCTTAGCTGGTAGTACTGTAATTATATTATTTTTCTGGTTTCTTAAAATATCTACTTATTGGCGGGGGGTGGAGGTGGAGAGAATCCACTGGTTCACTCCCTAAATGGTTACAACAGCCAGGACTGGGCCAGACTGAAGCCAGAGTCCTCAGCTCTATCCAGATCTCCGATGCTGGTGGCAGGGGCCCAAGTATGCCATCATCGGTTGCTTTACAGGCATCTCAGCAGGGAGCTGGATTGGAAGCAGAGTGACCAGGATTCAAACAGGCACTCTCATATGGGATGTTGGCACCGCAAGTGGCAGTTAACCTGCTGCTCCACAGTGCCCACCCCAATTTTCTGGTTCTGATTCAATATGCTATGGTTATGTAAGGCATTAACATCATGGAAAGTGGAGCAAAGGGTATATGGGAATGTCACACTATTTATGACATTTTTCAGTAAGTCTAAAATTATTTCAAAATAGAAAGCTAAATAGCAAGACTAGCACACAAAATATTGACAATGCTTATGAAAAAAATCTCTTCCCAACCTGATATCTGGGGCTCCAGTTTCCTTGTCTCTCTTTTCTTCAATTCCTCTTTCTCAGTTTCCATTGTTCAGTGTTCTCTGTTGCCACCCCAAGATGGATGCTACCCAGAATTCTGTTTTGCCCCCTTTGATTTCTTTCTACACACTTAATGTCTACAGCCAAACCCAACACCCAAGCGGTACCTCTTGTGAGCCCTGGGCTGAGTACCCACCTGCTGCCAGTATTCCCACATCCACCTGCGTGTTGCTCAGGCGAGCTCTAGCTCATTGCTTCTCTCCTCTGGCTTCACCTGCTGAATCCCCTGCTCAGGTCTGCATCTCAGCAAGTGACCTCATCGTCAACTCTACAGCTCCCAGTAGAAACCTCAGTTCCACTAATGCAAATGACTCAACCGCCTAAATTGTTTTCAGATTTTGTCATCTCCTTTCTACTCCTGCAGCCAGATCCCTGTCAGTCCCTTATCTAGAATAATGCAATTGCCTTCTAACTGGTTTTTCTGCCTCTGGTCTCTTTCCTCTGTCTCAGCTTAATGACTGTCACCAGAGATTATTCTGTAGCACAAATCATGGTCACGACACTTTGATGATGCTGGATTTTTGGAATGAAGTTAAACTTCCATATTAATGTGGGACACGAAGTCTTTCTCAAAACCTGCCCCAGATAACTGAGCCAACCTCATTGCCTACCAGCCTCTTCCCCATCCCCACCATTTTAAGTATCAGCTGTTCACAGCTGCTCCTAAAACTTGAGTGTTCCTTCATACCTATAAACCCTTGCTTGGAAATTCCCTCTGCCAGGAATGACTGGTGAAACCCAAGGTGTCTTCCAGACCTGGTTCAATGTCCTTTCATCTGGGGATCCTTCTGTGATGCTGCAAGTGGGTTAATCATGATTTTTTCCTGCTTCATTTCTCTAGTAAAGTGTTTACTAAAAGGCAGTATTTTCATCTGTTCAATTGTGAATTTCCAGAAGATACAGACTGGGACTTAACTCACCACTGTGCATCTCAATAAACGTTGGATGAATGAAGAATTGAATAGATATGTAAACAGATGGTTGGGTGCTGGGAGAATGGTGTGTGGGTGGAAGGATGGAGAGTATATAGGTGGTGGGTAGGCTACATGGGTAGATGGGAGATGAGTGAGTTGGTGAGTTAGTGGCTAGGTGGGTGGTGAATAAAAGGAAGGATGGATGGGGAGTGGCTGATGGCCAAATAGTAGGCATGTGATTGAATGGATGGTCAGAAGGTATACAGATGTTGAATGGAAGGCAAGTGGGAGGGAGAATGAATGAAAGGCAGGCGAACAGATGAATAGATGGGTAGGTGGTGAGTAAGTGGATTGGAAATAGGAGTGGCTGTAATACAATAGATTAAAAATGTGTGGGAGGTTGGTGAATGCATAGGTGGAGAGTAAAATTTTGTGTTAATATCAAGACAAATCTTAGAAGAAAGTATAAGGACTGGCATTGTGGTGTAGTGGGTAAAACCACTGCCTGTGATGCTGGCATCCCATATGGGCACAGGTGTGTGTCCCAGCTGCTCCACTTCCAATCCAGCTCCCTGCTAATGGCCTGGGAAGAGCAACAAAAGATGACCCAAGTGCCTGGGCCCCTTCCACCCACATGGGAGACCCAGATGAAACTCCTGGCTCTTGGTTTTGGCCTGGCCCAGTGCTGGCTGTTGCAGTCATCTGGAGAGTGAACCAGAAGATCTCTCTGTGTCTTTCCCTCCTTCACTGCAATTCTGTCTTTCAAATAAATATTTTTAAAAAGAAAGTATAAAGCTCACCAAACAGTTCTGTGTCCTGAGGTCATGTGATTGTAGGTGGGCTCAGTGCCAATTCAAGGCTTACACTTGGTGGGGGGGAAGAGCCTGGGCTGGTTATCTTCCGGAGTCTACTGAAGTTCTCGACTCACTCAAAGCAGAGGCTTAATCAACATTTATTGAATAGAACTGAATTCTTCCAGATAATCCCTTCTCTTTAGCATCTGGAAACATAGGGCTTAAAGAAATGTCTCTCCTTTGGTTCAGGGAGGGGTCCAGACTGCTCTTGGTCCTGCCCTCCCACCTCTGCCCTGTCTTCCCTTTTACAACAGGAACCAAAGGATCCTCCCTCACCTTCTCTGGACACAACCTTTATCACCTTGAACTAAGGCAGTTGTGTCAGTTTGACATCTCTTGACCCAGGACACCGATGAGGTGGGTAATGGGACTGTGCCAGCTGTTACCAGATTGCTGCAGTCTGGATGGTTGTCCCCAGGTTCGTCTCGGAGAAGCCCACCCAGCAACTAGCAGTCAAATACCTTTGCTTTGGCCTAGAACTATCTCTTCTTTGGCAGAAATGTGTGCAGACTTCAGACTGTCCTGATCAGAAGCCCAGCTTTATCATTTAATAGTTCTTTATTAAATAAAAATGAGAAAGTAAATGACTTATTACATAACAGTTGGGGTTTGATTGCAAAATCGTTCCCAACATGCAGACCATAGGGGGACGTCTATCTGCTCATGGCCCTTACATTGAGCTGGGCCACCCACACAGCTCACACCACTCGCCTATTTCAAGTGGCTGCTGGCCTGCTCTCCTCCACTGCTCACTCTGCCCGCAGTTATGAGCCTGTCATTGGGGCTTGCCAATTCATGGCCCCTCAGCATCTCTACTTGCTTTGAGTCCATGTGGATTTTGGTAGACTTCACAACACAGTCCCTGCCCTTGCGGATACTGGTTGATCTCATTAAATGGTCGCTACAACCTCTGCAGCCCAGAGACTGGCCTTTCTCCCAGGCCTTTGCTCCTGCTGCTCAGGCGTTCCCTCCCCCAGCCCACACTAAAGGACAGGAGTCTGGACTGTGATCCACGGGACAGGGGGCTCCAAGGTCCCTTCTCTCTAGAAACCGCCTGCAGCGTTGTAAGCTTCGTGACCCCAAAACAGAGCTGATCCCTGGGGACATCTTGAATTTAAAACATGTGGTATGGGCACTGGCTCCTCCAAATGTGGCACATGGGTCAGCGGCAGTAACAGAAGCTGGAAACTGGTTAGACACGCAGCACGTCAGGCTCCGCTCAGAACTCCACATCAGGAACTCCATTTTAACAAGACGGCCGGCGGATTCCTGCACACAGGAAAATCTGCATAGCCCTGGGCTAGGTGGCAACAATTCAGCATCATGTAGTCCATGAGTCAAAACCTTCAGAAGCTCCAAAATGTCTTAGTATCCTCCTGTGAGCCATCTCTAAAGCATCTTCACTGTAAAAATACAAATCGGGTCCTGAGTAGGTTACTTACCTGTTTACGCCTTAGTAGAATTTGGTGTTCAGCCGTAAGCAAAGCAGGCACTCAACATAGCTCTGAGGAAAGAGGGTGGCAAATGGATCAGCTTTGATTGGAACGGCAAAGTGGGGGTGGCAGGGGGGCAGTGCAGCCAGGTGAGCATCTGGGAGGAGGCTGGGGTGTGGAAAGGATGTCCAGCCGCCCCCCCACAGAAGTACGGGAGCATTCTGTGTGCTGCTCCACCGTCCTGTATGGGAGCCCTAACTCCCAGGACCTCCACATGTGACTGCAGCTGGCAATCCGGTCTTTATGTTAAGATGGGGCCGTGGAGGTGGTCCCTAACCAGATAGGCCTGCTGTCCTTAGGAGAAAAGAGACAGAAACCAGAGACATGGCCGCGTGAGGACACGTGGAGAGGGCAGCCAGCCACCAGCCAACAAAAGAAGCGTCGGAAGAAGTCCACTCTGCAGGTACTTTGCTCTTGCACTTCCAGCTTCCAGACCAGAGAAGCCACATGTGTCTCTCGGGTAAGCGCCCCAGTCCGCGGCACTGCGTTACAGCAGTTCCAGTAAGCACAGCCATGACCTTAGCCTAGCTGTGTTAGCCTGGACGAGTGGGGGGGGGGGGCATGTCCTCTCCACCAGGGGCGGCCCCTCCTCCACCCCTCGGATCCTGCTTCTCCTCGCTGCCGCTGCCGTTGAGAATAAACAGAGGCCGCCCGCCAGAACGCAGAACAAAAGCCTCGCACTTCTCAACATCTGCCCTCACACTCTCGCACACGTTCCCCGTAAACTTGCCCACAGTGTTACTGCCGATGGCGATTGCGCGGGGGCCTTTAAAAGGGGAGAGGTCAAAGTACTTCGTAATCAAAATAGCTAACGCATCCAGGGCGGCTGCATTGTGCGGGCGCTAAGCACTGTTGGCACATTGGGCCCCCAAGCCCGAGGACGGTGGACACTGCCGCGTTCCTGTCTTTGGAGGAAGGAAGGATTCTTCCGCCACTCCCCACCCTCTTGCTGGGATGGTTGCTTGCAGATGGCCCGAAGCTCTCATCCTCTTAGGAATGCCTTCCTCCAAGAGCGTTGGCAGCCCTCATCCATGCCTGCTACATGTCGGGGTCCGGCAGCGTCAGTGCTCTGGAACGGGGCGGTGGGCAGACAGGTGCTACGGAAGCCTTTGGTGAGAGCCCATCGCATTCTCACTTCTTCCTCGGCCCCATCCCCTCTCCCCTTCTGCGTGTGTTGATCCCCACCCTAATGCCTACCAGTGTGCCGATCTCCAGCTCAGAGTCGGCTTCCTGCGCAGCTGACCCTTCCACAGCTCACTGCTCAAATCAAGGACCTGAGGTCTAGGGAGGTGACGCAATTGCTCAAGGTCACATCATTAGCAAGTGGCAAAGGTGGGAGTGGAGCTCAGGCCCCGTGCACCTCCAGAATCCACACTTTGGGCGACACAATCCCAGTGGCCACATAGCTGAGCGCCCATCTTTTTTTTTTTTTGGAGCAATGTGATCCCGAAAAAGCTGATGGTCTGGGTGCTGCCTTGCTGCCTGCCTGCGAGGCTATTAAGAGATGCACGAAATGAATTTCCGCAGGGGGTCCAGGAGGGCTCTACTTTTCTGAGAGGCAGCAGAAGAACTACCTACGGAGGGTCTCCCAGCACCTGCAGCTCGCGTGGCGGCTGCCAGGCCAGGAGGTCGGAAGACGGCCCCCCCTTCCTCCGACCTGGCCCTCCCTGCTGCTGCCCGGATCGTGTAGGAACACAGCGTAATTGCTTGCCTGGTAGAAGCGAACCAAATCAGCGTCCCTGTGCTGGCAGCGTTAGTGACAGGTGATTGCATCAAGACACTGGCGCAGCAGCCGGGGCCCGGGCGCCTGTGTTATTTACTGGTCCATCATGTATAATTTCCGAGTTTAATTTTATCTTTGCAAACTTACCGGTGCCAAATGCGGGATAAAGTTCTTTAAGGGGCCCCTGTGAGAAACCAGGCTACACTTGTCCGCCCCCCACGCACCCCCAAGAGCTCTCAGGGTGGCTCACTCAAATT